GCTTTGGTGTTTCACGGGTGTTTTGAAGGTTTAATGATCATGACTCAGAGCTGGAAGAAAAAAAAAACACAACTCAGGCCAAACTTTGAGTTGGTTTCACCCCACAACGACGATATACAATAGTGTGTTTCACAACCTGAACCTCATAACCTCGGTGTTAAACACTGTGTTACATAACAGTGGATGGAAACTGCTAAGTGTTTCCACCGTTTCCCACAGAGAGCAGCAGAAACACACACACACACACACACACACACACACACACACACACACACACACACAGCATTAACACATTCCCGATCAGCGCGTTTCTTCTTTCAGGTAGTTACCGCAGCGAGAACGAGGTGAACCCGTCGGACGACCTGGACTTCAGACACCACAACTACAAGGAGATGAGACAGGTCTGTGCTCCAGGGTTACACAAGCTGATAAAGAGATAAGTCTGCAAACAGCAGCATCACGGCTGCCTTTTTTCTCATCCAGATGATGAAGGTGATAAACGAGGAGTGTCCCAACATCACCAGGATTTACAACATCGGTAAAAGCTCCCAGGGCCTGAAGATGTACGCCATGGAGATCTCCGACAACCCGGGCGAGCACGAGTCAGGTAAGAGGCAGGAAGCTGATGTGATGCTGCTGCTGCTGCTCAACGTTTCCCAATCAGTTCAATTATGACTCGTTAAGACAATTCCTATACACGTATTTGTGATTAGGATTCAAATAAGGTCACAAATTGGTATGCAGCCGATCTTCTGCACATTTTCCATCTATAAAATCAGTCAGTCTAGTCACAGCTGCCGAGTTTTCTTAAAAACCTGATGAAGTTTGTGAAAATTTGGATTTTGTTTTTGTTTCTTTTTACAAAAGAAACCTTGAGATTTCAATAAATTGCCTCTAGAAGGTCCTTAAAATATCTGTACTGTTTCTATTTAACAACTCTCTCTTAAGTGGAACTACTTTAATATTATATATATATATATATAATATAATATCTACACACACATCTTTGTTTCCTTGTACTAACTTAAAACAACTCTTCTGCAGAGTTGTTGAATTCCAGTTCCTAATAATTCCATCTTTAGAGAGCAAGCAGAGTCAAGCTCCAAAAACACTGAATACTACATTTCCCATGATGCAATCCTGTCAACAAAATCAGGGTCATTGTTTTCATGCATAAAATAGTCGGAGTGCCCCTTTAATCCTCCAAACAAATAAGTATTTATTGAATAAATTCACCTGTGTTGCTGCTGATGATGCGCGTGTTTTTGTTTCGTCATCTCGTCTCCAGGTGAACCGGAATTCCGTTACACAGCCGGTCTCCACGGTAACGAGGCGCTGGGCCGAGAGCTCCTCCTCCTGCTGATGCAGTTCCTGTGCAAAGAGTACAACGACGAAAACCCGAGAGTGCGCCGCCTGGTGGACGGAGTGAGGATACACCTGGTGCCCTCGCTCAACCCCGACGCTTACGAGCTGGCCTATGAGATGGTGCGATGACGTCACAGCACCTGGACATTTAATCACACACCTGTCCTGTAGCATTTTAACCTCAACAGATTAATATGTGTTTTAAGATGCTCTCTAACGTGGGCCCCTTGTTTCTGTCCCTCAGGGCTCAGAGATGGGGAACTGGGCGCTGGGCCACTGGACTGAAGAAGGTTACGACATTTTCCAGAATTTCCCCGACCTCAACAGCATCCTGTGGGGGGCCGAGGACCGAGGCTGGGTCCCCCGTATCGTTCCCAATCATCACATCCCCCTCCCGGAAAACTTCCTCAACGGCTCTGTGAGTTTGTTTCCTGTCGCCGTGGGGCCGGTGTTTCACTTTTAAATCCTAGATTATGTCTTGACCCTCAAACATTCCTCGTCCTTCCACAGCTCGCCATTGAGACGAAGGCCATCATTTCCTGGATGCAGCGAAACCCATTTGTCCTGGGAGCCAATCTGCAAGGAGGAGAGAAACTGGTCGTGTACCCGTTTGACATGCAGCGCCCGCCAATTTCTGTAAGGACATGAAACTATTGGAACTGTCATCGATAAACTTATTACATCGCCTTTAATCCTTTATTCCCTCGCTCCTGTGAAGTTGACCGACAGTCGGCGCTGGAGGACGAACGCCGAGATGAACGAGGAGACGTGGGCCCGGATTCAGCGGCAGAACGAGGGCGCTCTGAGGGAGACGCCGGACGACGCCATGTTTCGATGGCTGGCGATGTCTTACGCCCACAGCCACCTGACCATGACCGAGACCCAGCGAGGCTCGTGCCACGGCGATGACGTCACGGCGGGACAGGGCATCATCAACAGAGCCAGCTGGAAGCCGGTGGTGGGCAGTAAGTGTCCACAAGAGGGGAACGTTGGAGGCAAGAGGAGGAAGAAGAGATGAGAGAAATATCCTCCGCCATCTTTGAAATATTCATACAATCATTTATCCCACTTTAGTTCGATTTAACGCAACTTTATTTAAATATACGCACTAACAGACTGACAGTCTCACATTCAGCCATAATGTCCAAACCAGAGAATCTCTCCTCACCTGAACAGTACATGACAGTAAATGACAAAGTAAAAGCGCATATAGCAGCAGCAAAGCTTTATTTCAAGCTATTGTGAGCTTTAATTCTGAAAAGTACTGACAGGAAGTTCCAAAGGTTCTGTTGACAGACCTCTGAAATGTGTGATATGAAAAAAATGTAGTCGGCTAACACCAGGTTCAGCAAATCAGTCAAACGCACAGTAATTCCAGTTACACATTTTTATCAATTAATTTCTTAAATGATCCTTTGATTAATGGATTAATCCTACAGGTATGAACGACTTCAGCTACCTGCACACCAACTGCTTCGAGCTCTCCATCTTCTTGGGCTGCGACAAGTTTCCCCATGAGAGCGAGCTGCCTCTGGAGTGGGAGAACAACCGCGAGTCTCTGCTGTCCTTCATCGAGCAGGTGAGAACTGCAGACCAGCAGGAGCCGGTCTCTTAAGGTGGATTTAACGTTCAGCTGGCCACTGAGCTTTTTTTTTTTTTTTTTACATCCACCTTAAACATGCTGTTCACACGTAAAGTTCTGCAAACAGTGGCTTTAAAGTTTTGTCTGTATCTGATCTGGGATTTAAGGTGGAATGTGCTGTTTTCCTGCGCAGGTAAATCGAGGGATAAAAGGTGTAGTGAGAGACGTGGAGGGCAACCCTCTGCCCAACGCCACCGTCACTGTGGAGGGAATACGACATGATGTCAGAACTGGTACGTTGGGGCTCAATGACCAAGATGCTTTGCAGGATATTAATAATTCAGTTTTTGCTTGTAAAAGGAAATCCAGATCCTGACCAGTGAACGTCCCACACTTGTAGCTGTAGGTGGCGATTACTGGCGGCTGCTGAATCCTGGAGAGTACCGTGTGAGCGCCAAAGCTGACGGCTACACCCCTCAGACCAGACTGTGCTTGGTGGGCTACGACTCCGGAGCCACTCCCTGCAGCTTCACCTTGGCCAAGTCCAACTGGGACCGCATCAAACAGATCATGGCGCTGAACGGCAAGAGGCCCATTCGACTGGTCACCAAACCCAACGTGGTGAAGACGACGGCGGCCAGCTCCGTGAGAGTCGGCAGCACCGCCGCGGGGACGGACGCTCACGCCAACGCTCAGAACGCAGAGCGACACAGGCGGCTCCGGCTCATGCGACTACGCAGGCTGCGTCAGCAGAGATTAAGAGCCGGTCTCGGCACCACTGCTACAACAACCACAACCACAACTACCACAACAACAACAACAACAACAACAACACCGCCACCTGAAACTGAAAGAACAACCTCCTGGTACGACTCCTGGTTTCCTGTGGACAGCTGGTCGACCGAGAACCCGTTCGACAGCGTCATCTTTGACTCAGGGCCCACACAGGACTATCCTTTTGAATACACCATCGATTGATCCGCTCACATGTATGTGTAACACAGACCGTACTAACCACTTCGTGACGCTGCAACATCACAGCTTTAAAAACACAAAACACACCGACTGGTAATTATCTAGTTTTCACCTGTGGGTTTCTACCTGAGCGGACAGGAACCTGATCTGAGTTCATGTGGAAAACTCTCGATAGAGAAGCGACCTGGGATAGAAAGCCTCTGCTGAGCAGAGACTGTAGAGTTTAATCTGGTTTCTGTTCAGAAAAACAAAACACAGCACGTCACAGTACAAACAGGTACTTTTCTATAAGAAGTCTATGTTTATGTGTCTTTCATAGCTTGACAGTGTGATTGCTGGCCTCAGTTAAACTGATTTAATGTACTGCTGAACGCATTTGATTAAAATGGTTATTTTCTAAAACATCGTCGTCCGTCTATTATTCTGTTCGATTAAATCATTTATATAATCTGAAAAATCAAAAAACCAAAACAGTCTGAGTGTCGAGTGATTGTTCTAATCAATGAGAGCGACGCCTTTCACATTAAATGCAGCTATTTGATCCATTGTTCATCCAAGAATATTGATCAGCTTTATCTGGGCGGATCAATCGCTCTTTAGATAAGATGAAAAATATGTCACTGACTTTCTAACTGCAACCGTGAAGCTGTTGTTTCACGTTTTAAAACACATATTCAAATAATGTTAAAGGTCTCCTCCAGTGTAAAGGTCTGTGTCCATGTGTAGTGTGATTATAGATCAGCTCTAGCTTCTATATTAATACTGTGAAAGTATCAAAGCCTCAGTCCACAGAGAAATGCACACAGCCTGTATTCAGAAACTGAGCCTTAAAACCAGCCGTCAGGACTTCTGGAACTTTGTGATGTCACAACAAAGCAGTCACCAAGCCCCGCCCACCTGGACCCACCATCCAAACCTTTACAGGATTTGGTTTCTCTGAGTGTTTTTACCTGAAATCTGCTATATTTTTATTGGATCACTCAGAAAACAGTCAGCCAATCAGAAGACAGGCTCAGAGCCTGATTATGATGATCTAATAGAACTCTGATAGAAACACTCAGTGTTTTAGGAGAAATCATTTTATTTTAATAAACAATGTTTCAAGAATAGAAGCTTTAGAAAAGAGATAATGTGGATACTGTCTCATGTCATCAGGTTCAAACTGATTCTTCTGTCAAGTCAGCGTACGTCCATTTCGTCCGTGGCCCGTTAACCCTCCGAACCGAGTCCGTACAGTTTGTATTTGTCTCACCTGTGCCGACATGGAGACCAAACGTCCTCCCGGTCAGTGTCTCTGCACAGTTTTAACATCCAGGACTGAGGCGCGGTCATGTGACGTGAACTGCAGCTGCAGCTATGAGCGGCCTGCTTTACCCTTCCTGCTCCTCCCGCCGGTGTATCTGAAACTCTTCAGTGGGTTCTTCCCCTGGATGTTCTTCTGCACAGAGACAATAAATCACTGTAACCACGAGCTTTTCCCTTTTAATACTCAGTTTTTCTTCCTAAAAACATGAACACACCTGAGTTTGACGGATGATAGTTGGAAAAAGGGCTGAAACTAACTTCTATTTCCATCAACAATGAATCTACTAATTATTTAATTAAACATCTGGTCTATCTAAAGTTAAAAACCTCATCTTCAACACCACACACGAGGACAGAGGAACATCTGGACCTCCTCAGCTGACCACAGCCTGGTTTTGTGACGCGGGTCTCACCTTGAAACTGCTCTTGACGACTCCCTCAGGTTTCGACTTTTCCTTCCTCTTCCTCCTCCTCCTGCTGGACAGCGGATCCACCACGCCCTTCAGCGTCTCAGGAACTGGAGGCAAAGATCATCGTTACCGATGGCGGACATCTTTGTAGCCATACTATAGTGTGTGTGTGTGTGTGTGTGTGTGTGTGTGTGTGTCTTACTCAGGTACTCAGGGATGTTCTTCAGGTGGGGTTTGACCACAGCAGGGTGGAGGTCTTTGTCGTGTCTGAGCAGCTGCAGGTCTCTGGGGTTATCCTCGAAATACGTCTGCGAGCAGAAACATCCACACGTCCACGTCCGCTCGTATATTCATGCATCAGAACACTTATGTTGAGATGAGTGACCTTCTCTCACCTTGAGTTTCTCTGAGTTGAGCAGCTCCTGTTTGATCTCTTTCAGTCTGGCCTCCCTCACCGCCTGCTTCGTCACCGAGCGCATGGCGTCCTGCCGACAAACACAGTCAGCGCTCATCACCCAAAACTATTAAACTACTAAAATGAAACTGTGAGTCAGAGTGGAAAATGTCTCCAAACTTTTGGCTGGTTCTGTACATATAAGATTAATACTGATAATGTGTTGAGTCTAATGAGGAGATGTGGTGCAGATACTCACCCTGCACCTGTACCTGAAGCCTTCGATCTCTTCCATCTTAAACTCGTAAGGTTTCAGAACAGATTCACCGTTTTCTAAAAGCCAATATAAACACCATCCAATCAATGACACGTTCAAACACGATCAAATTATTTGGTTGTGGTACAAGAGCTTTAGAAACAACAAGGCTAGCTGTTTCCCTTCGTTTCCAGTCTTTATGCTAAGCTAGGCTAACTAGCTTCGTATTTATGTTAATAAAATGATTCAAATGTCTCCAAAATAAAAATAAAAACGTCTTGGTCACCTCCTGTCAGCGCCTCCTCCACCTCCGACAGCAGACCCAGCTCCGTGTGGGAGATGAAGGACAGAGCCGTGCCCGAGTTGTCTGCTCTCGCCGTCCTACAGAGTCGAACACAGAGAAACTCTCGGGGGTTAATTACGTCACACGGATGCGCAATGTGTGATGCTGAAGTGCGACTGAACGGAGACTCCACCTACCTCCCGACCCGATGGATGTAGGACTCCACGGTGGCGGGGAAATCAAAGTTGATGACGTTGGCGACATTTTGGAAATCAACGCCTCTGGAGACGCCGTACTCTTTGTCCTTGGACCTTTAAATACATCAGTTGCACATTAATCAACATGTGACCGAAGTTAGAAGAGTATCTTTGTGACATCACACAGCGTGGCAGCGTTGACTCACTTTCCTCCTTTCTCCGCGCTCTTCTTCTTCTTCCCTTTGCCCGCGGCCGCCTGCGGAGCTGCGGTGGGATCGGCCAAACTCTGTTCGTCTGTGGCGATGATGTAGTCGTAAAAGCCCTGGTTAAACTGGGTGATGATGTGACACCTGTAGAAGAAGCGCAAGAAACATGAAGATGAACAGGAAGAAAAGCAGCTGAGACGGTACAGATGACTGCAGGTCAGCGGTTTGTAAAAACTTAAAGGCCCCATAGAGTCTGAATGTCTCTGTCCATGTGCAGTTAGATTATAAAGCAGGTCTCGGTTCTGTATTAATACTGGGAAAGTATCAATCCAGAGAGAAGCCTGAGAGGAGATGTAAAACTTCTTATGGATCAACACTTGAAATAAAACACAGAAGAAGAAGAAAATATGACGCTTTAAATCTCTGTGGAAGATGTTTACTGAGCCTGATGCAAATTACCGTCAGGGACACAAAACGCTTTTCACCCGCTTTTCCCCAGATGCTAAATTTCCTGACATACAGTGACACATCAGGGTGATGGCATCAGTTTCCATTAACCTCTTTTTTGAGAATGCATTAAAATCCAAACTGCACTGGAGAGAGAGAGAGAGAAACTGCAGGCTGTTGGAGACTTCCTGGTGGTTTGTCTCCAGACAGATGAAACTGTCTCCAAGTGTCTGCTGTGAGAAAATCTACTGAGAACAAAATCAAAACACATTCCCCTACGAAACAAAGACTTCAGGAAGGACCGATAGTAGAGTCGTCAAACATTCTGCGCTCCTCTCTCACCTGGAGTGAACCGGCAGCTCGGAGTTGAGGACGCAGGCGGGGATGCCAAACTGTTCCAGGAACAGTTTCAGTCTGTAGCATCTCTCCACTGCTCCCACAAACACCAGCGTCTTCCCCTGAACCAGGCGCAGCTTCAGCAGCGTGTAGATGAGCAGGAACTTGTCCTCTTCCTCGCACTTGATGCTGTACTGCTGCAGCTGGCTGCTGTCCGGGAGCTGAGAGCCCTGAAGCTTCAGGATCACCTGAGAGAACGCACACGACATCAGTGTCCAGCTGAAATGCACACGCCACAAAACACGCTACACACGGGAAATATCACAAAGACTGAGAATGTGAAAGCGGCATTACAGGGTTGTGTAGCAGCAGCTCCTTTAAGGCCTGAACGTCCTCGGTGAGAGTGGCGGACATCAGGAACGACTGGTAGATCTTCGGCAAATGGCTGAGACACAAGAAAACAACAGGCGGATTCAAAAGAAATCAATGAATCAGCAGCAGCTCTGTGGAGCCGCCGAGACTCTGTCAGCGACACGTTCACTGTCTGAATGTTCACATGGAAAATTCTCACTTCTTCAGGCCTCAGAAAATCCTTTGTTCTCATACCCACACTCTGTCACTGAGTCACAAGACAACAAGGTTCATTACCGCTGCTCTAAACTCGCCACCAACTGTTTAAAATCAGATTCAATCTGCGTCTGCGTCTTCTCACCACAACAGGTTCTTCAGATCTGCCTCGAACCCGAAAGAGAAGAGCAGGTCGGCCTCGTCTACCACCAGAGTCTCAAGGGACGAATGCAGGACCAGGTTCTGGGCGTTGAGGTGGGCCAGCACACGGGACGGCGTCCCCACGACCACGTCAGGCTTCTCCATTAAGATCGGTCTGTCCACAGAGACAAAACAAAACATCATGTACAGTTTTAGATACTGAACAGCTTTCATTTAGATTATTATAAATGTAAAATCGACCTACAACATTAACATAGTAGACTGACCTCTGAGCCGACAGATCAGCCTTTCCGGAGATGTCGGCCACCCGGACGTCTCTGGAGCAGAACGCCGTCAACTGTCTCATCATGGTCTGAACCTGCTGACCCAGCTCCTTGGTTGGAACCAGGACCAGAGCTCGCACGTCCTGCTCACGAACGCTCTGAAGACGACGACGACGACAACAAACAGAAAGCAAGTGTTCAAAAGCTCTGAGACGTGTTCTGTGCATCACTTCCACATCCTGTTTCCACAGATCACACACATGATCCAGGCAGCTGAGATACACGACTCACGACGTGATTTTGACATCACTGTGAAGACATGTTTCGAAACAGACACAGTCATCTTGAAGTGTCGGATCACAAACTACACATCTGATCTAAAAACATCTGACGTAGCTCAAGACCTCACCTGCTTGGAGGTCAGGATGCGCTGGATGACGGGTATAGCGTAAGCAGCGGTCTTTCCGGACCCGGTCCGGGCTCGAGCCAGGAGGTCTTTCCCCTCCAGGGCCAGAGGGATGGCCTTCTCCTGGATCAGAGTGGGCTGGGACCAACCCAGATCCGCGACCGCCTAGACCACGACGATAACAGGGAGTTCGTGATTTCACGGCACAACAAACTATTTCTTGTTTGTATCTTTTAACAGCTCTTCCTTTCTAACTAACTATCTGTTTCACAATTTAAAAGATTTTTAACATCAAATTTTCCCAAATCCAAACAAAGATGGCAGCTAGAAGTGACATGATAAACTTTAACGATATTACACATTGATGTTTATTTCCACTATTTTAATTTTTCATGCTTAATAACACGTCCACCATGATTCACCAGGTGCTCTCTCACTCTAAAATAGGAACATGTATGCCCACATGAAATTGATCACAGTGTCTTTTGTACCTATAGTGTAGTTTCTCCACAAAAACAGCTGAATGAGCGAATTACATATTGTGCTGATTTTGTTTTTTGTAGAGAAAAGTATTAAATAAAAACCCTTCAAATGTTAATGAGTTTTCCTGTGTTAATGATACTTATTATTTCATCAACTTAAAATATATAAAACAATTAAACAGTGATTGTAGATAGATATCACATATACAGATATCACATATCCCATTACGTGAAATGGCAAAGAGGTCTCAGACAGCTGGACCCTACACTGGCAGGGACAAGCAGCAAATCCTCACATCAGAGGAACTGACACTTTAAAATGACTGAAATAGTTGCTGATTAGTTAATTGTCTGTCGATTAATCGATCATTCATAGCATTTTAAATGTTTCTTCAGCTTGTTTCTCTGCTGTTGAGCCAGTTAAACCAGTTTAATAGTGTTAATGCACAAATTTCTAACATTCAATTCACGCTGTCTAACATGTAGTTTAACCTACAGGCTGGTACGTCTATAAAAATAGAAGTACCTTAGTTCTAACATGTGTGATGGTTTAGCAAACACCAGCCTGCTGACATGTTAGCATAGCCGGGACCAGCTGCTGTGTTTACAGTGTTTACGCCGAGTTTCCTTCACCTCTCTGCGGATTTCACTCTTCAACGTTTCCCCTTCAGTTTATTCAACATTCACTGATCGTGTCGGCGGTTAATTACCTTTAAAAGACGGTCGTCTAAGCCCATTTCATGAAACTGCAGCGTCTCGTCAGCCATCGCTCCACCGCACCACACTCACATGTGCGTCGCATGATTACGACGTCATGCTGCCTTCATGTCCCTCCTCTCAGACTCCGTCTTTTCGTTATCGCCAAATGTTCCTCTCTTTCCCTTCATGATTTCACATACTTTATAAGCATATATATGTTTTCCTTTTTAATTTCTTATCAATTTTAAACATGTCTATCTTATCAAATACTGTATTATCTGTATTACTGTATTATTAGTATATTTTTTGACAGGCTATGGGGTCCTTCTGCAGTTGTTCACGTTGTATAATGGAAAATGCCAGTTTAGGGGGTATTGCTTAATTTCATAGTCCTATTTGTGCTAAATTTACAAAATGAACACTGGAATTAATATAAAATTTTACGATTCATGTATGTAGCTATTCATCAATTTATTAATTTGAATAAGGTTACTTAATCTGTTACTTTAGGTGAACATACACAATTGCTGTGTAAATGTTACTGTTCATTCTTATTTATAAAGGTGGGGGGGGGAGGTGAAGGGGTCGGTTCGATATATGGTTGGAACATAAAAGGTCTAGGGATTGTTGCACAGCTTAACCCAACCAACATGACTGAGGAGCAGTGTTGGGTATATGAAGTTGTTCCAATTTCCAATAGATTTTATCTATAATTTTTACATGTTTTTATGTTATTCATTAATATAGGCTATTTCATATGTGGAAATTCTATATATCTACATATATTATTATTACTGCAACAGGTGTACCTAATAAACTGCCATCTGAGTGCATATCCAATGACAAACAGGTGGTGCAGAGTGTAAACACTCCAGTACAGAGGCATCTTATTTTGACATGAATGGAGGTAAAAGTGAGGACAAAACTCTATCAAAGATATTGGCTCTGATTTATTTATTTATTTGATGATTTAATCAAAAAATCAACAAGTTAATGGATGGACTTTGTAGTGTTTTTGTTTTTTGTTTTTTGTTTAATACCATTCCCTGATTCGACCGGCAGATGGCGACAAACAGCGGCAGTTACTAACACGCCAACGTCATAGACACCATGATTAACTAGTAAATATAAAAATAACCACCACCATCTCAGCAGAGCTCGGTGTTACTGAACCCGCGAAGCTGCATGAGTGAACACAGAATCAAATCCCGCTTTGAAAACAACCGGGGGCCATGTTTGTTGGAGCCACACGTCGGAGCCTGAGGACTTGTTGAGAGGATGGTGAAGCGGTGGAAGGAGGAGAAGATGCCCGGTGGACGCTCAGCAGCAGCAGCCGTCTCATCATCCCATCATCCATCCTCCCACAGCAAATAAATGAGTCAACATGGCCGCGGAGCAGCTCGCCCTGTAGCACCACTGAGACACAGAAGAAAAGAAAACACAGGTAAATAAATGATGTCGATGGAGTGGGAACACTAGGTCCGTGTGTTTTGTTTTTTTTGTTTGTTTTATTGAGAAAATCCCAGCTCCCCCTGTTCACCAAAATAAAGCTACAGGTAAATATTTGTTACATAATCTAATAAAGCCTAATTATTCCCACAAAATAGTCTTCTATTATATTATATTTTTTATTCTAGTCTTGTGTGTGTTTTGTTGACATTTTATGAGATAAACTGGACGTTTTTTTCTTCCCCCCTCTCAGATTAAATGGCGTTCATGTCCCGGTTCTCTCGGTCCCGGAGCAGCTCCAGGTCTCCGAGCCGAAAAGACTCCGAGCGCGTCTCCCCGAACCTGACGGTGTCCGAGCTGGAGCGGCTCCTGTACACCGGAAAGACCGCCTGTAACCACGCGGACGAAGTGTGGCCGAGACTCTACATTGGAGATCAGTGAGTTTCATAACCTCTTTGTCACACTTTGTGATGACAGCTTGTTAAGTTCCTCACATACAACTGATGCACGAGTCATGTTTTTTAAATTAAATTGTTTGTGCAGTGTCCCCGGTTGAATAATGGTCACTTACACCTAAGGTCATTTACAGCGTGTGTTCATTACATAACTGTTGTTTTGCCATTTGACTTGTTGTTGTTTAGTCCTTAACTGTTCTCAAGGGTCATTTCACTTTGTGTAATGTGGTTGAAAAAAAACAGCAACAACTTAAATAAGAATGGATGCTACCTCACCTTTGATGAAGGTGTGAACAAACAATTGGATGATAGTTTCAGGTAAAGTGTGAAACTGTATAATAGAATTATATCATTTTATTTTATGTTTCAGGTTAAACAGAAGTTTTATTTGTCACACGCCAAGCTGCAGAGCAGGAAAAGCAGTGAAACCACGGTCAGACTCAGTAGCAGGGCAGTACCTCGCGGTTGTCTGCCTCTGCCACTCAGACTAGTTTCAGATTACGTTCTGTGAAAGGTCAAAGGTCAAGGTCAGTGTCAGTTCATCCTTGAGTCCTAATGAATGTTTGTGTCAAATTTGAAGAAGTTCCGTCAAGGCGTGACTGAGATATCGTGTCCACGAGAATGAGACGGAGGGACGGACAACCTGAAAACAATATGGCTCCGAGCATGAAAAGTATCGTATATTATATCGTGTCAGGAAATACCGCAATATTCTATATTATTGAATTTCACCAGTCTTACATTAATTAGCAAGCTGGTAGTCAAATGTGAACATCCACATGTTGCTGAATCACCCAGCCGCCTTTGGTTATGTGACATTCACAAGCGAACACATATTACTTCAACACATACATCACCCTGACACAGCAGTGACCAATCAGCTGATGAGTGAACTGTAAACACCTCCCTCCTCCTCCTCCTCCTCCTCCTCCTCCTCCTCCTCCTCCCCTCTGCAGAGACATCGCATCAGATCGGCGCGAGCTGGCCAAGCTCGGCATCACACACATCCTCAACTGTGCACAGAGCAAGTGGCGCGGCGGAGCCGAGTATTACGCCGGGATGAACATCACCTATCACGGCATCGAGGCTCACGACTCGCCCACCTTCGACATGAGCGTCAACTTCTATCCTGCTGCTGAGTTCATCCACAAAGCCCTGACGAGTGGAGGTCAGTGTGTGGATGTTGATCCTTTAAAACCTTTAAAAACACGTCATTAATTTTCATTTTATTCATAAATTTTAAGTAAGTATTTTACAATAGCTTTGGATCAATATGTAAAACTTACCTCTACGTTTTCTTCAGTATCCAACTAGTGAAGAGACAAAAAAGGGTGATTTATGCAGAAGTCAATCCATTAAATGGTAAAGATTAATTTGAAACCTCATAATAAAATAAATACAAACACGACATTAAAACATTAAAACTGAGCAATGTTTTATTTCATTAAAATTTCATTAAAATGACAGTAATTGTGGCAGGTGCAGATTTGTCTCTTATTGCATTAACAGTTTTGCACATTTAATCTCTGTTGTGAAAACGGAGCCAAAGCCATTGAAAAATACTGTAACATTTACATTTTCTGTACATTTTATCTTCCTGCATGCTGTTTCAAAGCCGTCTCTCCACTACAGATTACATATTCCTGGAGCAGAATTATAGGTTCAAGCTTCAATGTTACTTGTATTTTCTCCCAATGGAGGAAACGGTCTCGGATTAAGGAATTTTCTGCCCAAAAACCAAATTAAATAGGAGCACACGTGCTAAATTAACCTGGCAAAACATTCAAAAAAACAAAAATTATAAAGCATGCATCTCAAAGCATATACATATATAAATAATAATAACTTTATTTATATAGGACCTTTCAAAATAAGGTTACAAAGTGTTAAAATCTATTTAATTTTAATTTGTCTATTTAATTAAATTAAATGCATTCTGAAAACATCTGGAACTATATGTATTGTATACGTGTAGGTAAGGTGCTGGTCCACTGCACTGTGGGAGTGAGCCGCTCAGCCACTCTGGTGCTGGCCTACCTGATGATCAGACAGAACCTGACCCTGGTGGAGGCCATCAAAACGGTGAAAGACCACCGAGGCGTCATCCCCAACCGAGGCTTCCTCCGCCAGCTCAACGGCCTGGACGGCATCCTGAGAGACAGCCGCAAGACGTCGCCGCAGAGCTGAAAACGCCTCAGCACAAGGCACGACCTGAGGTAGCAGCCAGTCTGGTTTTACACTGAGGGAGATATTGGGACCAAGTTAGGAGCAAACTGGGATTTTGACACTGTGGCTCTGAGAGGCAACAGGTGACAGGAGGGTTTGTCTGATATCAGTATCTTCACTCATTCATTTTTATTATACTGTGTCTGTTTAGCCTCTGACACAGCGTTAGCACTGGAAGGTAAACGTCTCCAGTGAGGCCCATATTCTTTGAGATAAGGGGGGTGGCCACATGTTCGCTGCCAGAGAGAACACCCTCGGCCCAGAGAATAATTCATCACAATCAAGTCTGGTCAGTGTAATCCACCACAAAGTTGTGTTACGGGACTTTAAAACATATGAGAATCTAGCTCTGTCCACACCAGCAATTAAAACAGCAGAATTCTTGTAGCAAAATTCATTAATGTCATATGGTAAAAACTGGCAAGCCGTGTTGACAGAGCTGACCTGTGAGGGCAGCTATCACTCACCTTCCAGTTCAACCTACTCTGTTTTGTTTTTCCCTCTTCAGTAGCTTTTTTTAATTAAGTTATGTAATTTTTAATTAAGTTATGTAATTCTAAGAACATAATGCCAGCGGAGTAAATGGCAAATCAAAGAGACAATAGAGAGAAGCTCAGGAAACTGCTGTGACTGATGTTCCCGGCTGGTTAGCGTGTTAACGAGTCCTGCGTCACCGAGCCTCTACAGCTACATGTTCCGCTGCTCTCTGGTGTGACCAGGCCTAGATCCTCCATTCACACGAGGAAAACGCCACAATTACATATACAAATAATAACATGATAAACAGAAGTTCACATTTAGGAGCCAGAGGGGCCTGAGGTTTTTCATTAGCTTAGAAAAATGGTTCCCAACTTAGGGGTGGGGACCTCCCAGTGGGTTCACAAGAGAAATCAGAACGGTCATGAGATGATTTTCAAGTCAGGAAAAAAGAAAATGTGCTACTTATTTATTATAATTATGGCATTTAAAAAACCTTCAGAGTCTCTTCATGTCTCTGAAAGCTACATAGTTTGGGATCTAAGACATGAACCACTGTCCCTGATCTGGATCCTGCCAGGGAATCAATATCCAAAATAATCAGTAGAAATAAAGAAATCTGAGACGAGACGATCGGTCTTTGCTCCCATCGACCCTGCGATGAGGAGTCCCAAGTAAACTGGATATAAAGGGTCATAAACCAAAATGATTACTTAGTGAAAACTACGTCTCTTCATGAACAAATATAAAGTTTTAATCAAACTTCAGATCATTCCACTGAAACTTATTAAGACGCGAAGCTTGTTTTTTCGCCACTGTACTAAAAAAATACAACAATTAAAGCTTTTTGGAAAACTTCTTACATAATCAGTGGTTGTTAATGCACTGTAAAAAAAAAAAAACATTAACGAGTCAGTCAGTCTGATCTCTGGTGCATTTTTTTCTTGTATCAGGAAATTTCTAGAAACCTTCAGTATTTACAGTATTTAATCTCAGATCGCCGCACTAGTATCAAGAAGATAATTCCAGTCTTTAAATGATCTTTAAATATATTAAATAATCTCAGCTCAGATTATTTTCACTTGTTTTGATAAAATAAAATTTAAAGACAGTATGACCACTGCCTCCTGGTGTAACCAGTGAAATCTAGTTAGTGTTATTTAAGGCTGCAGCTATTGATGACTGTCTTTAGCAACGAATCTGCTGAATGTTTGTATAATATTTGTATGATTAATCGATTAATTGTTTAGTCTAAAAATTTTCAACAAAAAAAAAGTGAAAAATGCCAATCATAGTATCCCAGAGCCTAAATATTAAAAATCAGTAATTGGATCTTGTTTGATATTTTTCAATTGTTATTCCTGACTAACAAACCAAATATATTCAATTTACAGTATTAAAAAACAGAGAAAAGCAGCAAATCCTCACATTTGAGAAGCTTATAATTATTAATCTACAATCAAACGTTTGACAATTAATTTATAGTCAATCAACTAATCGATCAATCAACTATTTGTTTCAGCCCAAGTGCTACTGCAGTCTTCTTATCAGCCAGTGTTGCTCCTCTGTATAGAAATACAAGAACTGAGATGACTCAGGGTCGGGATTCAAGAAGGGGCCCGGGCTTGTTTTAATGTGGCGCCCTGAAATGACCACACCTGGCCCTGACCAAACACGGGCTCTGCTGTCTTTTGTAAACGACGTGGAGGCTGAACTCGGGACATCAGCCCTCAGAAAAAGACGGTTCTTGCTCAGTGATTCTTTCCCCATAGTTTCAGTCTCAGCAGGTCTTCCCTTAACTTACTTCTTTACATTCAGCAAGTGTCATTAAGTGCCCTGAACAACTCACACTCTAGTTGTAACCCAGGTCTAAAACCAGCACAGTTATGTAGCCCGTTGATTATAATATTACGGTATTGTCACACTCTGTATACACTTATTATCCGTGGTGAGTTTGTGCATAGCAACAGACAGTGTACGGTATAATATGGTTTTTTGTTTTCAACTGGGTGTTGAATAAGTTCAATGTATAGTTTCAGTCCAATGTATTTGAAATCCTTCTTGACTTTTATTTTATTTGATATCTTGTGTGTGATGATCTGATGTTCATCCAGTAGACTACAGACTTAAGCCCATTCTGACGGGACTAAGGACACAGGGAGAGGTGGGGAATGAAATATTCACTGCGCTCCTCCGTAATTTAACTCATTCCAGGCGGCAAATTACAGGATATGGTCTGTAGCAGACACGGACATTTAGCCGGACAAAGCTAAAAGAGAAAGGTAAAAGCCTCCACAGGGGGGCGCCGGAGAGTTGAAGGTGAGGCAAAGATGCTCCGTGAGGTGAATTTTTCGTCAGAAATTGCTCTCGTTCTAGGTGTCGTACTTTACTCAAATCTGAACACAGAGCCATGACACACGTAGTGATATCATTCAGTGACTTACTGGCTACGTCCACACTAAAACACAGTTTTCCAGACCGTGGGCGTCTACATCATCATTTCCAAAGAGAGGCTTGTTAAAAGCCTTACACTTCCCCAGGATGTCATTATCTCTGATGTCCGTCCAGAGTTAACGTCCATAAATCTGCTTAGAAATCATAGGAAAAAAAATGTTTCAGAACTTGCATGAGAATAAGGTCATTTTTAAGTTTTCTGTTTAATGACAATTTACTAAAATGTAGACAAATATAAGCTCAAAAGAGAATATGAGCATCTACCTGTAGCTGACATTACAACAGACAACTTGATCTGTTTTTTGTTTGTTTGTTTGCTTTCTATTGTTATTTCGTTTCCCTAACAGACCTTTAGTTAGCCTGTTTCCATCTATCACAGTAGCAAACACACTTAGAGTACATTTTCACACAAATCAAATTTCCGAATGCGCTGATAAAAAAAACAAAAAAAAAGGTCAAGAAAAAGCAGTAAGTGCGGAAAAAACTCAGTGATCACCTTGTGTCTGAAATGACGGGAGGACCACCTAGTTTACAGAAAAAAGGAGGTAATTTCAGCAGTAATTATTGCTGCGTTGGGGTGAAACATTACTCACACTACGGATTTGGATTAAAATCACCCCACCTCCCCTGAATGAATCCAGTCCGAATGGGGCTTTTGACTCAACGTTGCACTCTAGCAAGGCTATTGAACTTCCAGTCTGGTGTATCACTTCAACTTTACAGTGACTGTTAGCTGTCCAGAGTAGTACTCTCAGTGATAGTTTAATATGCCAGCACAATAAGTACTTAGGATAGACGTGCAGTGGGAGACAGTACCACAAATGTGCCATTGCAAAAGCTACCAACTGCCTGGATGACAGGAGAGTGCACAGTGTTCAGTGCTGTATTGCAAAGTCTGCTCTTTTGTCTTGGTGTTAAGTGAGGCTTGTGCTCTCATGCTAGTGAAAAACACCAATGCTGAATTTTAAACCAGCTTTTCAAATACCCTTGTGTGTGTTATTAATGATTACCTCAAGTATTATGTTTGAAACGTATATTTGTTGTGACTTGTGGTCTTCGTCCGTGCTGTTTCAACGCCACCATGATGAAGTTCAGGTGAGGGCAGAGGTGAGCGACTTTGCTCATAAGCGGGAAAAAAATGTACATAAAAAGCTGAATTTGTGAATTTGTACAGTCTGTGGCTATTAAAAGGTATAGTTTGAAATTTTTGGATTACAATACCACTCTCATGTCTGCGTTGTAAGTATGGAGCTGGGAGGCAGTTAGCTTAGCGTAGCGTAGCATAGCGACCAGAAGCAGGGGTAAACAGTTAGCTCGCTCTGTCCAAAGTTCAAAATAAAGCAGAGGTTTTTTTGATTTCACACAGACGTAAAGAAAAACAACCTCTCGTCAACAGCTTTTAACAGCTGTAGCTAACTAGCTACTTAGTTCTCTGTGAGTTGGTTGAAAATTTCTCCAGCGGATTTTTGAAAGTTTCCAGCTGACTTGTTTTAAAACAAAATATTTAAAAAAACAAAACAACAACATCATATTATGTTTAACAAGGGAAACTACATTCACAAAAGTCAACATCCGCACTAGTTGATGATCCATGTAGAAGGTCCAGAAATAAAGGAAAAGCATGTTTCTTGTGTCGCAGCTCAGCTCTAGTACAGCTTATAGCTTATAGCTAAAAAATATAATTAAAATGTTATTTCAATCTAACATAATCCTGTTTGTGTGTGTGCCAGAATTGGTCCAGATGTGGAAGGAGCATCTGACAGTCATGCTATATGTGGGCTGTGTGTGGGCCGAGGAACTGGCCATGTACAGAGCCAGAGGAAATACTATTTCCTATTTAAGTATTCGCCAGAATAATTTAGCAATCTGGGACAGAGGTTAGATTAATGTTTTATTGTTCATACAATATGTTTCAGTAATGCAAGAGAAAAGGTGTGGAGGACGGGGATGTTATCTTCTTCAGACAGGACAGAGCCCAACCTTACCCTGAACTCTGATATAGTATCTCTGGTTACCACACAGTGGAGAAATACTAACTTTTTACTTATCAATGGGGCTTTTGTAACGTATCCCCACATTAATATATAGCTAGCTGGGCATGCTAACTTTTGCAGCTTACATTGTAGCATATAAACACATCATTGAAACTGAACTATTTGGCTTTAGGAATGTGATAAAGAAGACGCCACAATCTCAACTCTTTGTACATGCAGCCCCAAGATGGGACTGGATTTTTTACTGATTTACAAACCATCACTTGAGAGATATTGGTTGCCATTTTTGAAACTTTGGACAGAGCCAGGCTAGCTGTGACTCCCTGCTCAAGTCCAGAATCAGCCTGTCAAAAATCTTCTCTTGTTACAGTTTGTGTCAGGAAAACAGAGACCTCCTTTACTACAACTCTCTGTTATACTACACCATGATGTCCTGTTGACAGCAGAATCTGCCTTTATTATGAATCTTATAAAACAAAGTGGAAAATTACAGGACGGGTCCTCTCCAACTATTGTGATCTTTACTTTTGCTGTATTGGATCTGTATGTTTTGTATTTGTGGTTTTACTGTGCTGTGGTTGGTCGTACGTTGGTCTCAGTTCCTGTTTATATTCTCTTATATTATCTCCGTTTTCTTACAGATACCTTTCTATAGGGAACTTGAATTCTTTTGAATTTATTTATTATCACTCTCTTTGAAGGAGAAACTGGCAAAGGAGATGTTGATGCCTTAATCTGTCTACTTTAAATTGGTTTTTAGACTTTTGTTTCGATGTTTTTATTGTGTACAACACTGAGCATTGATAACTTTGTTTTGATAAATTCTGTACTTACTTCTACTACTTCTGTCAGAAATAAATAAATAAAAATTCTCTCAGAGCCGTTGTACTGTATTTCTTTGTTTTTAGTCCACAAGTTCATACTAAAGAGATGCCTCAAGGCCAGTCCAGTGGCTGTTCTAGAGC